TCGTCAACATCTGTTACAGTATTAGCCCGCCTAGAAGTGTGCACTCTTCTGTTGAAGGTGATGTTTCATCTAACACATTTGTTGTCTTCCAGGTGCGAGGAACCATCACTACTTCATCTTGTTTCTGTTCTCCCTCATGCTGATGGGAGCCTGGATGTTCTACGGTTGTCTCACATGTGAGTGACTTCACACACAGTGTAATAACAGTATCGGACACGGTTTCATATTTACATTTGATACACATGCCTGTGCTGTGTGTATTTTTTTCTCCAGACTGGTCGACTCACTGTGTGCTGCATTATGAGGAGCAGGGCCTGTGGGGCGTGGTCTCCGCCCTGGTCGGCTGCTCCCCCTGGCTGCTCAGCGTCTTCCTGCTGACGTTCTATCACACCTGCTGGTCTGGCTTAACTCTGCTGCTGCAGCTCTACCAGGTGAGTGTAGGCTTAGAGGCTGTAAACAACTTCCTGCAGATCTCAGAGATCCTGTGAACAGTGCTCTCCGTGTGAAGAAGAGGAACTTTGGTAGTCTTTTAAATGCCTAAACATCTGCAAATGTAAAATAATATAATATATTTTATATTCTAATTGCATGTAACAACTACTATAGAGATTAACAATAACATAATAATGGTTAATTTATGGTACAGATGGGTCTCAAAAAACGTCCACATTTATTACAATAGGCATTACTGGAAAATTCCCACTGGAAGCGAGACGTGAGCGGCGTATCATTCAGCCCACACTGACCCATAGTCTGTAGATGTCTAAGCCGTCTGTCAGCAGAAGCTACCGTGAGTAGAGCAGACAGTAGCTGACTTACCTGCCTTCACCAAGCTGACCGATGGCAGACATTTGCCTAACCAAATGAGTTTTCATGTTGGCTCCATGGGAAGAAATCAACATTTTTTTTATGTATTCATTATTTGATTTTATTTCATGTCCACTGTGCAAATGGGGGGAATCAGTCTGAAACAGGCGGGCTCACAGACAGACTGGGAGCCTTGATCAATCAATGTAGATATGGTTAATAAGTTCAAACACATATACAGCGGGATATCTGTGTGATTTAAACAGCTGTCTGTGAAGATTATGCTTCACTTAATGTTACAAAAATAGACTTGAGGTGCTTCTAAAAATGCTTTCAGTGTGAATCAACTGTTAAGACACTGTTTCTTGATTGAATGATGGCCACTTTCTTTTCATCCCTTAGATTGTCGCAAGTGACAAGAGAGGCCAAACCTGTTCAGCCAGGGCATTTAATCTCATTCTGTTTTCGTCTAGTGACCTTCTCTGTTCATGTACAAAGAGCGTCTGCTCTGTGCTGGTGATGACTGATGTTTGTCCTTTGTGTCTGAGCAGATTGCCTTCCTGGGACTGACCACAGCTGAGAGGACGAACCTGACGCTTCACCAGAGAAAACTCCGACAATCAGTCTCCCTCAGACAGAATCCATACAAGTAAGTTGATAGTAGTCATCAGTCATTGTTTGTCTTCTTTGCATGTCACAATCTTTTAAAGCAAAGTTACAGTTTCCTCTACACATGTCAGTGCAGCTCTGTGATGCCATGTGCTTTATTTCAGTTGGTAAACAATAATCAATATTTAATGTAGAGGATTAATGTCTTTAGTTAATGGCTGTGTTGTAATTATGACGCAGCGGGAGCTTTATGCTTTGCAGTCAAGGTCTTGTGCAGTAAGAAATGTCTTTTACTACATTAAGCCCTGATTTATTATTAATACCACTGTGTCAAACGTGACATTTAGTCTCTATGGAAGTAAAATCATGACTTAAATCAAATTGAACATGTGTAAGCTGGTGTTTGCAAACCTCTACTGAGAGTTTTGTAAATGTGCAACTACATGTGCAAATGCATGCTAAAAAATGTGACTCGGTGTTCAGACATTTTTCAAATTTAAATCTGCATTAAATCATACGTTTATCTAAAAGAATAATCAGATGCTTAAATAGATTGTTGTGGTTATTAAAGCCCAAAAATGGTGGTGGTTCATTTTGTATAAGCTTGGAAATTATTTGTTGAGAATTGAGCCACATCGAAAGTTGACTTTAGGAAGGAAGAACTCCCACAGGCGTTGATGTATTTGCACAAGTTCTGGTTTGACACGGTCGAGGTTTAATTTTACTTCTCCTGGGCTTGAAATCGATAAAGGTCTAATGGCAGTGGCAAATCTGTACCTGGTCAACATATCCAACGCCACTAAGGTATATCCTGACAGTAAGTACAAGTTATCACTTTACTCTGACTGATGGTCCTCTCCTGACTCATCTCTCTGCAGTCTGGGCGTGGTGAGGAACCTGCTGTCCTTCTTCCAGCTGCGTTGTTGTGGCCTCTTCAAACCGCCCATCATCGACTGGATGCAGCAGTTTCCGCCCGGCCGCGACCAGCACATGTTCGGACACACCGACATGGTCTGACCTCCCCTCCACCCCATGCTCAGGGTCAAGGGTCAGACTTTCAAAGCGGTTCTGGACCAAAAGCACAAAGTGTATTTATTTATTTTTTTAACGATTTGGCTCCTTATAAAGAGAGACCACTATACAAGACGCTGGTAAAACACAAAGCATTGTGTAGATATCATTTGATTCAGTTGCTCTTTGTACAGCCTGCTGCTGCCTTATACTTGACCAATGTAAGTGAAATGAAAATCACAAATAAGTTTATTTGGGTGAGGTTAAACCTTAAAAGGCCTAAATCAGAATTGAAGTTTTGAGATGTTTTATATGAACACATCAAGCCTATTTTTTATCATCTGTTCTGGAGGAAAAAAAAGAATCTTTGTACGTGTACACAGTTGGTTTCATGACTTTTGTAAGAGTTGCATGTGTTTAATGAATGACCACTATAGTACTTCAATAAAGCAATGTTGTGCCTGTCTTTTCAACTGCCTCTGTGTGGACTCACAGACCTCTACATACAGGTGGTGGACAATAGAACAGCGGCACAGTGATGCAGTGGTTAGCATTGTCACCTCACAGCAAGAGGGTTCCCGGTTCAAACCCCAGGGTGGGGGAGCTGCCCTGTGCAGAGCCTGCATGTTCCTCGTGTCAACATGGGCCTTCTCTGGGTACTCCAGCTTCCTCCCACAGTCCAAAGACATGCAGGTTAACTGGTGACTCTAAATTGTCCGTAGGTGTGAATGGTTGTCTGTCTCTATGTGTCAGCTCTGTGATAGTCTGGAGACCTGTCCAGGGTGTACCCTGCCTCTCGCCCAATGTCAGATAGGATAGGTTCCAGCCCCCCCCCCCACAACCCCTAACAGGATAAGCAGCTACTGAAAATGAGTGATACATAAATGACCAAATTTTTATGCACATTGTTCAACTCAGCTGTCTTATTTTAAGGGTCAGTTTGTAGCGTTAAGGGAGAATATTATTTTGGACTTTATTTGTCACATTATGTGTCACTTTTAACAGGCCTGACCATAACATTTTTGCCTCCATGAACCAATATCTTTATATAACCAATAAGACAAAGGGCTCTGTTTTATATAAAAGTCTATTAATACTACGACTATTGTGATTTTTGCTTCCCTTTCATAAACAAGAAAAACCAAAACACATTCCTTGTTTTTTATTTTTGTCAAACTCAGTTGACACCAAAAGGAGCATACAAAAATTATATAACAGGTCAGCCATTATTTTTTATTATATAGAAGTGGCCTTTATGTGTGGTTTCTGCTATTTGCTGTGTCCTTGAGACAGATTTTGGACATTTAGCCCTGCTTTATTTTGAATCAAATATAGATCTAACATTAACTTCAAATTCAAAAGAGACGTAAATACTCTTTCCAATGAAATATTTCATGAGTTGTAAGAAATATCAGTATTTATATTGTCATAAAAAAGACAGCTGTCCCTTGAGGTTACTATTATTTCCTATCATGCCGTATGATATTTAACTCCATGGAAGGAACTGAAATAACAGGGTGTCTACAGGTCCTTAAAACAGTATTAAATTGTCTTAAATTCAGATTTTGTTTTCTTTACATTGAACTTAAACTCACCCAATTGTTGTCATCTTTCCTTAATGTTCATTTCCATTGCAGGTTTGGTCTTAAATTTCATATAAGGTGATATTAAAAGGTATTAATAAGTCTTAAAGTTTAGAATAAGAAGAAATCAAGGTGTTATTGGCTGTCATTTCCAAATAGCTCATATTTGACTTTAAATGTACAAATAATGAGAAAAACAACACATTATTTTATGTATGTTTAATGCTAATGTGAAAGCTAACATTAGCCAGCCAACATATCATAAGGAGTTTTTTTTAAATGTGACAAAATGTCATTTTCACAACCATCATTTCCATCACTTTGTGTATTATGATAGAAAAGACATACGGTAATGGAAATGAAAATGTTGTATCAATACACTTCTCTAGATATGTGTCAGATTTTCAAAAAGTTTCCAGACCTAAGTGGACCGTGGTTTCACGAGAACGACCTTGATGCAGCCACTGTGATAAAAGTTTCTGCAGGTTTGAACTTTAAGGCACAATAATAGTGTTCTGAACAGAGTGCTCTGTCAGACTGACTTTTACTCTGCATGTTTCCCTCTGTGTTCTCATCTCTTCTAATTCAACAGTGTGAGATAACAGCTCTAATTTTAGTTTGACAGAAACATCTAATCCCGTCCCGCTCTGCACGGCTGCTCACACATAATTGTTTGGGAAGAATTAACACGTTCCATTTGTTAATCACTTGTTGCCTTGATTATTCTAATTAATTATTGCACAGAATTATTTATGAATGCAAATATTATTCTATTAATAATTAACTTTAACAAGATGAGGCACTGCTAATTGTATTCTCACAGCAGGAGGACATAAATTCATCGATTTATAAGCTGGGACGGGTGAGTTGTTATCATCAGAACTATAATTAGTAATACAAACAATAGATGAATCTAAAATCAGGAATGTATTCCTGTAATGAGGAGTTCAGCTCTTTTCTGTGTGTGAGTAAAAGACATGGACCCCAGACTGTTTTTAAATGTTCTGTTTCCTCCCTTTATTTATAAAAACTGTCATTTTTTTTGTAAATAAATTTCATTCAGGACACATTTTAAGGAAACAAAGTGTTTTCAGTTTCTACTCACAATTTTCAGACTAATAGTAACTTTAATATCTAGCTTTCTGTTAGTTTACCTGCCCAGGATTCTGATGCCCAATATGGTGTCTACGTCTTTCATATATTACAAACATCATCCAACATAAAGGTAAAGGCTCCACTGAAACAGCTACCATGTGACACAGTTAATGTGAGTTTGAAGGTGTGTTCACTGTTGTTACTCCAACATGGCCTCGTTCCCCAGTCCAAATCCTTTCGGGCCGAAGTTTTTGGCGTAGCAAACTGAGGAGAAAATAGAAAACAATGCTGATTTAATGATGAACATTTTCAAATCTGATCTGTGTGTGGTCTATACTGTGTTCTGCACTGCTATATTTTCATATTTATGACCATAATGTGCTATCAAAGTGCCTTCAGTGCAGTGTCAGATGGATCCTGTGGTATTGGATCCTATACAGTATATGTGTGTATTTTGGGATGTGTGTACCTTTACAGTACAGCTCTCCGTCGTTGTCTGTCACTGTGGTCGACTCCAGACTTTTACCACACAGGACGCAGCGGAAACAGGTTTTATGCCAGGGCTAAAGACACACAGAATAAGTGATGATAATAATAATAATACTACTACTACTACTACTACTACTAATAATAATAATAATAATAATAAATAAAAATAAAGCTAAGGTAAAACTTAGCTTGTCCCATTTGTCACAGAACAAACAGTCTAAAGGCTTATTTATGCTCAATGTCAGACAGGTATATGGTCGCGGATGGAGCCCTCTGTCCTTATGCTGCGTTCAAGGACAATTACAACAGAAAAGTTTGGGGGAGATTGTACAGGAATACACTTGTTAGATTGTTTATGTTATTGTGTGACTTTTGTGTTTAAAGGGCTAGTTCAGATTCACTAAAGTTACACTTTAGCACAAATGACAGATTGAGGCAGTGGCAAACCAGCACCTCCTGTGTTTAGCTAGGCAAAATTACTGTCTTTATCAATGGAGTCTGGCTTTGAAAAAACACACTGTAGATAAAGTGGCATGCAAAAGTTTGGGCACCCAAAATTTCTTAACTGTGAAGAGTTAAGTAAGTAGAAGATGAACTGATCTCCAAAAAGCATAAGGTTACAGATTAAACATGCTTTTCATTTTAGGCAAGATCAGTGAATTATTTTTGTTTTGCACAATTTTAGAGTGGAAAAAAAGGAAAGAAGCACCATGCAAAAGTTTGCTCAACTCTCACAACTTTTAATAGGGTCTTAGACTTTAATTAGCTTGTTAGGACTCTGGCTTGTTCACAGTCACCATTAGGAAAGGCCAGGTGATACAAAATTCAAAGCTTTATAAATATTCTGACTCCTGAAACCTTGTCCCAACAATCAGCAGCCATGAGCTCCTCTAAACAGCTGCCTAGCACTCTGAACACTAAAATAACCGATGCCCACAAAGCAGGAGAAGACTATAAGAAGATAGCAAAGTGTTTTCAGGGAGCTGTTTCCTCAGTCAGTAATGTCATTAAGAAATGGCAGTTAACAGGAACTGTGGAGGTCAAGATGAGGTCTGGAAGACTTAGAAAACTTTCTGAGAGAAAGGCAAATCAAAATTGCCTTTTGACTGCAAAAGACCTGCAGGAAGATTTATCAGACTCTGGAGTGGTGGTGCACTGCTCTACTGTGACACCTGTACAAATATGATCTTCATGGAAGAGTCATCAGAAGAAAACCTTTCCTGTGTCCTCACCACAAAATTCAGCATCAGAAGTTTGCAAAGGAACATCTGAACAAGCCTGATGCTTTTTGGAAACAAGTCCTGTGGACTGATGAAGTTAAAACAGAACTTTTTGGAATTGTTTTCAAAGTAACATGGGGTGAGTAATTGATATCTAAATGGTCATTTGTGGGGTGAAGTATTTACACAGATTGATTGCTTTTTAAGGTATTTCTAGTTTGTCCTTGTGCAAGTTTGGGGTCAGAATGTTTCTGTAATTGTTACTATATAAATAGGCTACGGTATTGGACCACAACCACCTGTCACATTGGCAGATCATCTTCTCATGCTGGCTGTTACTAATCCCTGTGCTCCTCCTCCAGATCCACCAGAGGTCCCTACCTGCCTCCTTGGCTCAGAGTTGGTGCAGCTGTCTGCAATCAGCACTCACCAGCCCTGCTCAATCAACTTATCAGCCTTTGGGAGTATATCACACTATTCTATGCTCCAGCCTCTATTTGACTGGTCTGACTCTACCTCAGTGTTCTTTCACGGTATTTCTTTCTTGGTTCTCTTTAGGTTATAGAGTGTTTGCTGTATTTTTGTATTACACCAGTTGTTTTGGCTCTAAGAAGCCCTCTGTAGTGTCACTTTGAGCAACACAAAAAACATTTCAAAAAAGCGTACTGTTTGAGAAGATTATTTAGAGTCATGAGGGCTGAGTTCTGACTGCTTTCAGCCTGCTGGGGCAACAGAAAAACAAGTAGATCCAACTTTACATTAAAGAAAATGTGTGGAAATAAAAACTACAATAAACAAAACTACATAAAAACATAAAGCCAGAGACTAAAAAGCCCCCTCAGGATCGTCCTTACCTTTCCTGCTCCCATCACCTTCTCTGCTGCGTAGACTGCTTTGGAGCAGCGAGGGCAGCGGTCTGAATATCCAAACTTGGGGGAAGATTTATGTTCACTTAACTTCGGGGAAGCTCTGTGGTCACTGGAGCCTGAAGGAGCTGGTCTTGATTTAGAGCTAGAAAAAATAGACTTTCTTACAAGTAGTTCCATTTTTGTGGGTTCTTTAAGACAGGTCTGTTTTCAATCTGCCAACAGCCAATATGCTATGTATTCACAATCTTTGAATATTCACAGCATCATGGGGCATTATTCACAGTGTTATAGACTTGTTTCTGCAGCTGTGTTGAGAAAGTAACTTCATACTGGAACTGCAGTTTGAAGGGCAATAATTAAAGGCTCAATTTACCCAAATCACCAATAATGAAGGGGTACTGCCAGACATTTTACAGGTGGATAGCATTAAGCATCCATACATAAAGCTTGATACCATTGGGAGTACATTTGTGTGTAATGGCCCTTTAATGAAAGCCCAGACTTATTAACTACAGTGTGAACACATACTCCACATTTGGCAGGCTTGAATATCCATGTTTAGGAGGGTCAGAGCTCAGAGCTCCGGCTCCTTGCCCGTATCCGTATCCTTTTGGCCCATATTTCTTGCCATAGCAGGACTTGCAGTAAATCTCAGACTCGTGCGCTGCAACCGTGGTGCTGTCCAACCCTTTTCTGCAGGTCACTGTGTGAAAGAAACACAAATATTTTACACATTTAAACCAGCTGTTGTCTGACAATGAGGTGGTTTCAGTTTGTCCAGACTGGGGGTTGTCATGGTGGAGTAACGGAGGTTAAATAAAGCTCCCACCTATGCTTGTTTTATCAGTCAACAGTGGCACTGATGTCTTGTTTCTATTTGTAGGAGGAGATGGGAGTGTGAGGTGAATGTTCGAGAAAAGATGAACACTTAGCAGATGGGTGAGCTAATCGCAGAGGCCTTTCAGAGCTCCCGCTGGAACAATCCAACAATCACACAGACTGACACCCAACCAGCTGGTGAGTGTTTGTTTGTGGAGAGAACAGTAAACCTATTTGAAATGTCTCTGGATTAGACTGCAGCTGCTGGTTATGGCCGGGGAACTTTGGCTGTATCACAAAGGGGCAGTTCAGGTCAGGATGCACGGACAAGCAGAAGGAGAGGAGGGGAAGCTACGATGTGGTCAGAGAGCGGCCATTCGATTAGGAAGACACATGAGAAAAGGGCATTTAATAGAGAAAAATGTAAGAGTGCTGAGAGAACATGGTCGATTAAAAAGGAAAAGAGCAGTAAGAGGAGGATGAAGAGCAGAAAGAGGAGAGGTGATTAGTGTGAAGAGAAAGAGAGGAAATAAAAAAGAGTGTGAGATGGATGCAAGAAAAAAGGGAAACGAAAGCAGACAAGAAAGAGAAAAAGGACGGAAGATGTGATACAGGATGCAATAAAGAAAAAAGAAGAGAAAAAATGAAACAAAATGAAGACAGGAAGTTAAAAAATAGACTGAAAAGGAAGCTAGTGAAAAAGAAATATTGAGAATTGAGCAAAAAAAGAAAGTAAAGAAAAAAGTTAAAAGAAGGTAAGAAGACATAAATAATGAAGGGGAAATAATAATACAAGAGGTAGGAATAAAATAAAACCACAAAATCAGAGTCTACAAAAGATAAAGAGCAAACAGACAGATGCTCCTGTGTTGTTTGGCTCAACTGTCGGGTCAGAGGCGGCCATCATCGTCAGCACCCAAACGTGTCAACAAGTCAATTGATAAGAGCAAATGAGGCACGCAGAAACACGGAAGGACAATGTTAAACAGCTCTGTGTTCTGCTGATCCACCATGACAGTGCGACTCTGAGAAAAAGGAACCAGTGTGCTCACTGCAGAGGAAACAGGTCTTGTGGAAGCTTCTCCCGTTACACTGGATCTCCTCTGCATGGTACACAGTCTTCTCACAGGCCCCACACTTGACACCTCCTCCCCAGTTTGGCATCTTAGAGACACACAAAATAACAAACTGGAACAGATTACTTATTTAGTTATTAGACAATGTACTGGTTACTGACTGTCAAAAATTACACCCATAATATTTTTTAAGTAATATTGTGTCATATTGATCACAGGCCCCTGAATTGGATCGAATCAAAATCCTATTGTGTCAGACTTTGTGATATCAGCAAAGTTATCCACAGGATCAATATAATATTGTGCCATCATGAAACTTGCAATTTAATCCCTTCACAATTACTCTGCAGATTAAATTCTCAGTTACTACTCAATGAATCATTTGATATAGTGAATGAAATGTGCCCATCATAATTCCCCAAAATGCAACGAGGCATCTTCAAACTGCTCGTGTTGTCTCACAAACAGGCCAAAACTCAAAGATAGTAAGTTAAAAATGAAATGCAAAAACAGCAAATGTTCATATTTGAGGAATACTTACTTAAAAATATATTTAAAAGATGAATCAAAAATCAAAATTGTTGGCAATAAATTAATTATTTCAGCTCTAGTCAAATGCAGTGTCTTAAAACAGTCAGAATACTCCTCTCTAATTATATGAAGATGAAGATTATAAATGAAGATGAGCTCGGACCTCCCAGCATGTTAATTATTTTTTTTCGTAAGTGATAATTTCGTTCAGTAAATGCAATATTTATTATGTTATTAAAGTATTCCATTAATTGTGTCAGCATTGCAAACAAGAAATCTGCACCAGCAGATCAGACATCCAATTCAGAGATTCCTAAGATTTTCTAGACAAAATAAAAGCCATAGTGTTTGCTGCTAGATGTGATACTAGACTGAAGTATGTAGGTAACACAGGAGTGAGAGTTAAACTTAAATCTAAATTGCCCCTCTATAAGTTTTGTTTTAAGTAGTTAAGGGATCAATAAATAAGCCCTTACACCTAACCGTGCCTGTGTGATGTCTTGTCCTGCTGTATTTTTTCAACACACAGTTTGTCAAAATGTGGTATCTACTGAAACACCAAGACCAGTCTACTCTTACACAGTGTTACTCCTATTTCCTCATCAGTTCGATCAATAGTGGTTTTCATCTCTCTTTGACTCTAACTTCAGCCTGGAGATGTGGCCGCGCTGCCCTGTCTGGCCTTCTGTCTGACATTCCACCTCCCTGCCCATATCAGAGGCTGCCCATCACCTCACAGGACTGGTATGTGATATTCTAGGAACAGAGGCTTTACTGAGACATCACACAGACAAAAGCCAAGCTGCCTCTCCATCAGACACCACTGGAACTGTCTGATTTACTTCAGACAAACCAGGAATGTCACACAGAATTAACTCCTCTTGTTTAGGTTTATGTCAAGTCTAATAAAGTCAATGTAATTCCACTTAATATAAGTATAGCCTGATCATAAATCAACCACATAATCCCTGTTTTACATATACTATACCACTCCACTACAAACAGGAAGCGTTACTACAGCAGAAACGAGTCCTTACCTTGAATCCAAGCCTGTGTGCTTCGGTCCTAGCGTGGCAGTGATCGCTCCCCGGACAGCTTAAATACCCTCCATCTCGCCATCATCACAGTCCAGCGGTGACGCTCCAATGAAACTATCCCCCTAAAATAACTTGTGACAAAGCAGACCCCTCTGACCCCTCATCACAGGCTGAAAGAGGTCTGAACATCAGCCACAAACATTTGTTCTGGACCCACAGACAGACAGACACAGGAAACTCTAACCATGACAGACCATAAACTGACAGCTGCATGCCGGGAGCCACCCAAATGGCATCTTAGGAGGATAGGATTATGGATTATGAACAGAAATGACGAGAACTCAAAGCGTGCAAATGACAACTGCACATCTGAATATGAACACAGTGTTGAGCTAGGCTAATGACGCACACACAGACACACCAGAAAGTACAATAGTTGACTAAGGTTCAGAGGTGAAGTTAATTCATAGTTATATTTGAGTTAATTCTACAGTTAACTATGTACACTGAACAAAAATATAAACGCAACACTTTTGTTTTTGCTCCCATTTTTCATGAGCTGAACTCAAAGATCTAAAACATTTTCTACATACACAAAAGACCATTTCCCTCAAATATTGTTCACAAATCTGTCTAAATCTGTGTTAGTGAGCACTTCTCCTTTGCCGCGATAATCCATCCCACCTCACAGGTGTGGCATATCAAGATGCTGATTAGACAGCATGATTATTGCACAGGTGTGCCTTAGGCTGGCCACAATAAAAGGCCACTCTAAAATGTTCAGTTTTATCACACAGCACAATGCCACAGATGTCGCAAGTTAGCGTGCAATTGGCATGCTGACTGCAGGAATGTCCACCAGAGCTGTTTCCTGTGAATTTAATGTTCATTTCTCTACCATAAGCCGTCTCCAAAGGTGTTTCAGACAATTTAGCAGTAAATCCAAACGGCCTCACAACCACAGACCATGTGTAACCACACCAGCCCAGGACCTCCACATCCAGCATGTTCACCTCCAAGATCGTCTGAGACCAGCCACCCGGACAGCTGCTGCAACAATCGGTTTGCATAACCAAAGAATTTCTGCACAAACTGTCAGAAACCGTCTCAGGGAAGCTCATCTGCATGCTCGTCGTCCTCATCGGGGTCTCGACCTGACTGCAGTTCGTCGTCGTACCTGACTTGAGTGGGCAAATGTTCACATTCGGCACGTTGGAGAGGTGTTCTCTTCACGGATGAATCCCAGTTTTCACTGTTCAGGGCAGATGGCAGACAGCGTGTGTGGCGTCGTTGAGCATGTTTGGGATGCTCTGGATCGGCGTATATGACAGCGTGTTCCAGTTCCTGCCAATATCCAGCAACTTCGCACAGCCATTGAAGAGGAGTGGACCAACATTCCACAGGCCACAATCAACAACCTGATCAACTCTATGCGAAGGAGATGTGTTGCACTGCATGAGGCAAATGGTGGTCACACCAGATACTGACTGGTTTTCTGACCCCCCCCCCCCCCCCCCCCCCCAATAAAGCAAAACTGAACATTTTAGAGTGGCCTTTTATTGTGGCCAGCCTAAGGCACACCTGTGCAATAATCATGCTGTCTAATCAGCATCTTGATATGCCACACCTGTGAGGTGGGATGGATTATCTCGGCAAAGGAGAAGTGCTCACTAACACAGATTTAGACAGATTTGTGAACAGTATTTGTGAGAAATGGTCTTTTGTGTGTATAGAAAATGTTTTAGATCTTTGAGTTCAGCTCATAAAAAATGGGAGCAAAAACAAAAGTGTTGTGTTTTTGTTCAATGTACATATTTACATGTTTAAATACTTTCATCACTTTTAAAACAGTTACATTAAAATGTAAAAGCTACATATTTTCCTCACAATTACCTCAGTCTAAGTGCTCCTAGCTTTTGATTGGTTGGTTCTGTAACATTTAAGTCAGGAATCAAGTAAACTTTATAAGAAGGAAGGTCAGTGATAGCGTTCAAATTTAGCATTGTAGCCAGAGTTTGGAGGCCCTTCTATTGTAGTTAATGGAGCGAGAAGAGCAAATCAAACCATAAAATATCATATCTGTGCTGTTTCACCTTAAACTGAAAAATCCTTACACAATCCAAACACACTTTACATGATGTTTACTGACATTATATTTGATCTAAATGTGTGCATTTGTTTTCCTTGTTATACAGTGCTCCAGGTATGACGTTTTTCTGTAGGCCAATGCAGAAGTTATCAGTCTAGTTCCCTCATCAAAAAGCCTGTGGGATTTTTCCATTGGATTTTGGATTATTGCAGAAAATAAGCTCTGTGGCAAACAAATGTTTATGGTACTTGTTCAAAAATTTTCACAAATGAACACCACTTTCATGATTTTTGAAACCGCAATGCCATCGCCAGAAGTAAAAAGCTAACTTAAGGCTATAAATCAGTTGCATGACTTAACATTCCTACCACAAGGAGGCTGTAAAGCCGTGTGTGGCGATGTTCTGTAGTCTCATTTAGCCATTGTTAGAACCTACCTTTTTAAAGACACATAAAAGCTTCAAAATTCACAAGTGGGGTATTTACTGTCATATTTTATGTCGTAGAACAAAATGTGAAAGTCTCTTAAACTTGTGTTTAACACAGACGTAATTTCAAGCATCTGACCAAAAACCCATTGACTTGGAGACAAGGGAACCGGTGGTACCAATTTCTGCCAAAGTGCCAACTCATTGCTGGGCTTTAGGACTCACTGATGGAGCACTATGTTTTTCTTGAGGCCAACACAGAAGTTAGCTTCCCATTGGTTCCGCTGTCAAAAATCCAATGGGATTTTTCAATTGGATTTTGGATAGTTTGAGAAAATAAGCTCTGTGGCAAACAAATGTTTATGATACTTACATTTTGTTCAGCAAGATAATCACAAAGGAACACCACTTTTATGATTATTGAAGCCTGAATGCAATTGCCAGAAGTAAAAAGCTAACATTAGGCTATAAACGAACAAAACCACAGTTGCAGAGTTAACAACACTACCACAAAGAGGCTGTGAAGTCATGTTTGGCATGATGATGTTTTTAGCCACTTAGCAACCGTCTCTTTTAAGACACATAAAAGCTTCAAAATTCACACGTGGGGTATTTACTGATGCATTTTATGTTCAAATTTTGCTTTGGAACCAGAGTTAATGTGCATATTTGTTATCCTTGTTATTGGTCTCCAAACAGATCATGACTCTGTCCATTAGCTGCATATAACTCATCTCAAGTCCACTGGGTCCAGGATACCTTACCTACCTGCTGTTAGCGGGAAGTATTGTTGACTACATGTATTTGATTATCAATACTTAATCAGCTTTCAATTGCTTAATGGTAGTTAATTTAATAATACTGTCGTGGAGAGCTAATGTTAACTCTATAACATTTCCTAATATAATCAGGAGGTGAAACTAATTACCAAATTATTATAAATCTGGACCTTTATCACTACACAGTACTTGTTACTTTGTCAGTGAACTTAGTTAGCATTTGTACTTTGTTTAGCTAACGTTAGCCAGCAGATGCCATAAATTAATCAGTAGATAAAACCATAAATAGTAACATTAAGTAAGTTAATAATCATCATGATGGTGTAATAGAAACAGAGAGGTGTGTGGTGTTGGTGGGTGACAGCAATTGTTTCTCTAGCTTAATCGTTGTTAAGTTGTGTGTGTGTGTGTGTGCTAGCTAATAGGCTTAAGTTAGACAACTACCGTTAGCATGAATATAAACTGCTGAGGCAAATTGTAAGGCATTGTACAGTCAAGTCCTCGTTTGGCAGATATTTACCTAAAGGAGTTTCATTTTTTTTCTGTTGTCTTTAAATAAAGTGTGTTTTACAATGATAAAACTACCGTTAATTTAAATGGAATGTGGGATGTTTCTGGGCTATTTATGGTTAAACAAAAGGGATCTTACTCTTTAACAAAAAGGTCAATCTCTGTAGGGATTCTTTCAATAATGTTAGACACTCCGAAAAATATTCTGAACATGAAAGTGGCAAAAACAAGCACTTTTAGTGGATGTACACTGACTGTGTGAACAAAGCAACAGTTACATTGCAGCCTGTTTTGTTGCTACTGTCTGCAGGCCTCTTGCTCAATACTGGATTTCATCGTAATTTAGGTTTTGTACTGTTGGTTAGTCAAAACAAGATATTTGAAAATGTCACTGTGAGCCCTGGGAATCTGGGGTGAGTATTTTTTTTTTAAGTAATTTTCTTATTTCATAGACTAAACGATTTATAGTAAAAATAATAAACAGATTAATCTATAATGAAAATATTTAGTGGTAGCCGCCCCACTTGTCTTACTAAGTCCAATCTAATAGTTGTTCTAAAAGATGAGTCGCTGCAAACCAAACCACAGAACACCACATGATTTTCACAGAAAAATGTATTAAAATTTTGCATTTAGCAGGACATCTGGAACAAAGGTAATTTCCTTATAAATTAAATGTATCAAAATGTCTGATTAGTCCTATAATGACAAATATTCACATTTTCTGAATAAATCCATTTTCAATAGGGGTAACAGTTAACTTACATATGTGCAAAAGCCATATCATTGGGTTTAATTTAGAGAATTCAATAGTCAATCAGCAATATTTCCAATCAAATTTATCATGCAGTCAAAACATCCATCTGACTCAAGTGTGTTGCTCTTTTTTCTTTTGTTTTTTACTACTCTTGGTAATTCAAAGAAAGGACATTTGGTGTTCACATTACACACATTAGCAGAAATGACTAAAATAAACAAACAAAACCAATAAAATTCATTCTCCTCCATTAACTTATGCAAATTTAATCCTGGGAAAACAGTTTTTACCAGCATCACAATAAGCATGACAATAGTGTTCGTGAGTATCTGGTGAAGCTGGTTTGAAATCTGTCCACTGGGCCACAGCCGAAGTCTGCATGGCAGCTATTTTTAGAGACGGCTGTGATGAAAATGAAGGCAGTGAGGGTGCCGTGAAATGTTCAGAGGTTGTGAAAAATGTAAATTGCTAAACAGACAAAAAATAAAAAGACACCCACCCACCCACCCACAGTACGAACAAACACCCACACACACACACAATGTACACAGTCATCAGTGGGTTTCTTTCAGGGAATTCAAGTGTCCTCAGTGGCAACGTCCAGCTTCCTCTGAGGGATGTAAACAGTTTTGGTGCCCAGTTGTCCATTGGTGGTTACCATGGCAGCCAGAGGCGAGAGGGGTACCGGCGTGTGGAAGAAGCTGTGCTGGGGGAGTCCTGTCCCTTTGGGGGTGGTCATCAGAGGCTGGACAACAGACAATATTCAGTTAGTGTTTAATCTTAAAGGACGAGTTCAAACAAATCAAAAGCAACTTGTATTTCCCTCAAAAAATGTCTGTTAGTGAAGATAATCCACAGACCTCACTGTGAACAATTATATTGAAAATGAAGCTTAGTGAAAGTTCAGTCAGGAAGTCTCATTCATTCACAAATCCCTCCGCCCAATCTTCTGGCTTCTACTCCATCAGCTAACTATGGGTGATACTCTAAATTAATCCAACTGAGTTTAGCCATGATCTCCCTAAGCCAATCATATCGTTGCTGTCAAACATAAAACCATTTTCCTCTCTGCTGATGTCAGTTGTTAATTCAGGACGAACAGATGCAGCCCTCTTCCATCCCATTGACCTCCAGTGTTCAGCACATCCAGTGCCCAGTCCTGCTTCACATCCCATCATCCTTATCTTCATCAACATTCTTCACCTCCATCATCAGTGTCTAGACCTCACTGGGGGAATATTCCTAAACTAATCATGCCATCTTTTCCCCCCTAAATATACTATGTCACGATGGGGTCTAAAAGACAGTCACTATTCGTCTTTATTGAGTACCATGTTCACTCTAAATGAAATCTCTCCTGATTGAACTACTTTCCCCCAAAGCATCTCTTGTTGTGAAAGCTGCAGATGGCAGGGTCTGCGGTTTCCTGAAACAGATAACCCAAAACCTCAGTGCTTAAAACTGAAACTAGCTTCATGGCTAGACACGCTAAATACCTGTTTTTTTGGCTGTGGTTTGAGTGAACCGACCCTTTAAAAATAGCACAAGAAGCAGCTGTTTAGGTTTTCAGGCTAAATGTGAGAAACGGCAGAATTACTGATGTCTCCCACAAATTATTTGTGCATTTCCATAAGGTTGGGGCACCTAGGAGAGACAGATTTTATAAAAGGGTGAACAGTCCAAATCAAGTCTCTCGTACTATTACTTTGACTCAAAAGACATTACATTACTAGACATTACATTCTCAGACTTGACAAACCTCAGACAGAGCCATGGAAAAAGTTATACAAGTGTTTTCACAGGTTAAAAGTGCCCCTTTCATTTCAAATAGTAAAAAAAAAAGTTTTTTTTTACCTGTTGCAAACTAATCAGGGTCATTGGCTGCCCTGATACAGACTGCTGCAGAGGCACAGGTGACACAGGTTTGATGAAAACCATGCCTCTCTGATGCAGAGCCAGCGGGCTGGGAATTGTGTTGCCACACTCCGGAGTGTGGGGGGCAGCAAAAGCGTTTCCTGGGCTGGAGCCTGAGATCAGACCCAGGTTCTGCAGGGTGAAGTTGAGGATGGCAGGACTGGGGCTGTGGAGCCGGTGGGGCTGTTGGGTGGTGTGTGGCGAAGCGGCAGCAGTGGGTTTGTGAAGACGAAGGCTGGTGGGTGTAATCTCCTGGGCTAGGTCAGGTCTGGAACCTGTGGATGACAAAATGAAACCAGTAAAAATGTGTATAGGCCTTTAATCTAATTTACAGTTATTAGCACATTAATTTTGAGCTTTTAAAGAGTCATTACAGAAAAACTGAGACTAACTTATCAAAGGAAAAGCAAAAGAAAAGAATCATCGCCCATGCTTAAGGGATTAGGTGATTCAGAGATTATTTAAAATCAATTTTCTCCATTTTATTTCATTTTAAATTGAATATATTTGGGCTTTTGGACTGCTGGTTAGAAAAATCGATTGATCAACTGTAAAAGTAACATTTTATGACATTTAGTGACATCTTTACCTGCAGTTGGGGTTTGGTAGATGTTGTAAGTGGGAGTTGAGGCCTTGTTACTTTCTCTCCCCAAACCCTGAATTTCCTTTTCACTGACGAGGGACTGCTGGGAGATTGGGATCAGGTATCCGGCTGGTACTAAAGTCTGGAAGGGCAGACAAATAATTATCACACAAACTGCTGTGAATCGATGAACACGACATGAGGTATTAAAAGACTTTCTCTTGTTTACTGAGGCCTAGTAAGCATCTTATTCATGATTTACCTCGGCATGGAGTTGTCCTGGCGTGAGGGGTACGACTCTGACCGGTGTTAATCCCGCCTCGCTATCAGAATTTGCCGTCTTCTCCTCTTTGTCCAGGAGGTTCTCCAAGGTCTGTTCTAGTGTCGGATTGGCTGCAGCAGCTCCAGGGGTGTTAACAAACTCAGGATCCAGGTGGAGGGCGCGAGGTGAGGGCCGGTTTGAGAGCTGAGTGCCACGACGGGCTTTCAGACGGGCCTGCAGGATCTCACACAGTTTTGGAGAGGTGTCCTACAGGAGGCCAACAGGAGATGGTGGGAAATACTCTTTGTTAGAAATACATAACACCGTAGGAAAGATTTTAAAATTATTACATTTTAAACATCAGTTTTATTGATTAAAAACCACATGCTCTTTGACGTTTCTAACATGGAGGAATTTGCAAAAGACTAGCCACTTGCAGCTTAACTTGAATCAGTCAGAATGTATGTGTTTTTTTTAATGTTTTACCTTGAAGTTGGGGTCTGTCCTCTTGGCTTTGGAGGGGCTGCTCTCCAAAGCTGAATCCGAACGCAGCCGCTTTAGCGTCAAGGGGCTGATGTCTGACGCCCTGATGGTCTGCAGGTTCTTGGCTGCATACTGGCCTGTCGGGCTCTGCCCGGTCTTATCCTCAAAGGTCATAGATCGTACAGCAAGGCTGGTCGGCTGCGGCCTGGCCAGAGGGTTCGGCCTGGGGGAGGAAGGGCGCAAATACACAGCGTAGGGCCCGCTCCCCCGCTGCTGAGGTAACAGGACGGGGATCAGGGGTGAACACTGTGTGGGGATGTAGGCAACAGAGCCCGCAGGCAGGGATGCCAGCGGTGTGTGGGGGGTGAGGTGGACAGTAGTGTTGACTCTAGTCTCCTGGGTCGGAGTCAGTAACGGTGCCTGAGGCGGTTCCATTGAAACAGAGGAGGTTGGCTCGAGCCTCACAGCAGCAGGCTTTGGATCCTCAGCTGTGGTCCTGGAACAGAAGCGGGACTCTCATTTAACACCCTATAGCTCTATAATGATTATTTTATAGAACCTAAAATGAGGAGCTGAACCTTGTAAAAATGCACCAGATTAAATTAAAGAACCCCAGACAGTTTAGGTTAAATAACAGCTGAAATGGAACTAAACTTACGATGACTTTTGGTCAAGCTCAATCTTACAGATAGCAGCAAGTCGAGCCATTTTGTTTGGGAAGTCTGTGTTTGACGAATCACCTGAAGACAAAACAGGAACAGATTGTGTCATTAACATACACCACAATAAATAATAAATCTTTTAGTTTAATAGTTAACAGTATCTATACTTACTGGGGGAACTCTTCACGGGACTGCTCGGGGCAGAATTGATCTTTCGACGGTCCTCCTGAATGCTCTTAGCTAGCTTTATGAGGGAGGGGTGCCGGGTGAAGCTGCGTTTGCCACCAGGGGATGAAAATAGGTTTTTGGCACAGTTGTTTACAGACGCACGGGACTCCAGTACACATTTCTTCTTGGGGGGTAATTCGGATGCAGTGTTTTCCAAGTCTGAAACGAGAGATTAATGTTTAATCTGTGAAACTAATAGATACTAATTTAACATAACATCAGCAGCACTGGCAATCAGTGCTCAAAGGAAACTGAAAATCCTAAAATATATTTCAATTTACACCACAGTCCTACATAAAAGATGAATATCAATGTGATGCTAGGCACGAAATTCTCTCTAACTGTGGACCAGAATATGTATATTAAGTAAATGTTAAAAGATGTCTGGTGATACCTTTGACTTGTGGGAATTCATCGGGGCCAACCCATTCAAAGGCTGGTTTCCTCCCCCTCTCTTCCGTTACGTGGACTTTCTCGATGAGCTTCAGGCTCCGCAGCACATTGGCGATATCATACAGCCGGCGCACTTTGGCTGCAAACACATAAAACAAACAGCAAGATTATCTCCTGCCAATACAGAGACACAGAGTGTATTTACACATGACACAGCACTGGCATCTAAAACTTGTACATGCAGCTGTACAAAGTGAGAGTGTACAATGACTATTTAAATTCATTGCACTAGATGCCAGTACTGAAAATGGCAGGCTCTGTACTTACTCTTAAACTTGTTCTTGTCCTGATCTGCGACCTGGTCCTCTCCGATCAGGATCTTGGCGGCCACATCCAGACTGACCACACGAGGATTAGACACCAGGAAGAGCATGACAAACTTCTGGCTCATCACCCGTAGAGATTTGTCCTTCCGACTGTTCACAGAGGCTGAACAGGACAAACAGGAAGTTAAAAAACATAATTCACAAGGATATTTAATACCTATATAAACACAAGAATAACCAAAATGCCAGCGATTTTGAATGCTGAGATAAATGCAATCTGATACCCACTTGTAAATAAAAAGTTTGAGGAATCTGCCCTGAAATATGACACACCGCACTTCAGCTTCTCACCTGCTTTGAACTCTACTCCTGGAAGCTCCACAAAGAAGAGCTCCTTCTGTCCCTGCTCCCCGCTCTCCAGTTCCACCACCTCCTCGTTCTCCTTCTCCTCCCCATCAAAGTCAAACTCCTTGTCCAGGAGGCGCTGCCGGATGTGCAACATCTGCTGGCCGTACCTATGCTCCTCGCCCACCTGCTTCAAAATGGCTAGCGTCTGAGCCAGTTTGGTCCGGCCGTGCCATGTGTAGCGGTTCTTGGCCGAACGGCTCACCATGTGCAGGCTCTCCAGCACGTTCATGATGTCGTAGATGCGCCTACGTTCTACACCTGTGCAGGTGAAAAGAGCACACATTAAGGGAAAAGGCTCAAATTAATAAATGAACCGGTATTACGAAAAGCAACAGAAACTGATCACAGATATTCAAACAGCTTGCAGGGAAAAACTTAATTTAAACCAGCTACTACTGTGATTTAAATGTGTGATTTTGCCATAAACTCAAATTTACGATCAATGTGGCAAACAGTTGAAAATCAGCTTTGATGGAGAGGTGTTTATTTTCCTCCTAAACTGAAATCACTGATGAATTTAGATATGATACAATGTAATGTATGTCAACATATGATACACATATGATTTCTGTTATTATCATTATTGTAGTTATTATGGTATTATCATGATGATGATTATCATTAAATACAATGAAAATACACCGTTATTTGTAAATGTTTGAGCTCCAGTAACCTCTAAACAAAATTTACAGATTACAAAAAAATGAAAGCAATCATCACGGGGCATTGGTGGCTTAGTGGTAGAGCAGGCGCCCCATGTACAAGGCTGTTGGCGCAGCGGCCCAGGTTCGACTCCAGCCTGTGGCCCTTTGCTGTATGTCACTCCCTCTCTCTCTCCCCCTTTCATACTTGTCTGTCCTATCGATTAAAGGCTTAAAAATGCCCCAAAAAATATCTTAAAAAAATGAAAGCAATCATCAGCTGCTGCCAAAATGCCTGCCATTAAATGCAACCTTAATACATGGATATTGTATATTTGATTTTGTTGAGATGACTACAAGCAGTTGATAGAGAAGACATACTGAGTTCAGTGGCCACATCATCCAGGCAGATGTCATTATTGAGGGCAGGGTTTGGGTAATCTGGGTAGCGGGCAAGGAACTTATGACAGAGCAAACCCAGACTCTTGTCTTTCCTGCTGATCATTTTCTCTGACTCGTCTCCATTTTCACTGTCCTGCAGGAAGAGATAAATGAATAAGAAATGCCATCCTTTTAACACCTTGTGTTTGCAGAGAGTTTCTCTCATGTGTTAATGCAAGGGTTTTCTTTGTACCTGTGAAGGGTCAAGACCGTCCCGCCCGTCGTTGTCCATGCACAGCTCCTTCTCTCGGTTCCTGATATCAGGACTAGCAGCACTGATGAGCATTTTAAGGTTGGAAGTCGGCGTCCAGGGATCAACAGAACATGCTTCCCTTCCTTTTTTAGGCGTAGTGAGGGGACCCATGGTCAGATGGTTCTCCAGTGAGACTGCACACTGACTGGATAACTTCTTTGGAGTATTTACAGGAAACTGGGGTGCTACAAAGCCATCATCCTGGGAGAAAACAATAAGTAATAATTTAGATACAAGCCCATCTGTTCTTATAAAGTATATTGGAGTATATAAAAACTGAAGTGAACAAGTTACAGAAACATTTAGATTCCTTTGTTCTTACTGACCTTTGAATCAGAGTTCTGGGTCAGGTTTTGGGATTCAAGCACTGTACTGGACATTTTCCACCTTAGCATAAGAATTAGCTAACGTTTGCTAGGCATTAATATAATTATAGATAAAACATTTATTTGCTCCTAACAAGGTAAAAAAAAAGCAGTAGTTAAGATATGCTAGCTAATATTTGTCCTTAACAACCTTTAATCTTTCCCAAAGAGATTTTCAAGAACGTTACCTTATTGTAGTTTATCCACCGTGTTATTCATCTATATTTTAACCTACTTGCTCAGTATTTTAACACTACTGCTTTTAAAATTATTACATATTTTCGGAGCATCCTTACCGCTTTTTCAGTGAACACATTTATCGGAACCCCGACATTTTTAAAACAGCGTAATAACAATGTGCCAAAGTACGTAACGGTTATTAAATTTGAGTATTTAATTAATTTTCTGTTAAGATTTACAATAAAATCAGTTTAAATCTAATCAAAACACCAGACTAGTATTGGCGGTAACTGACTGACGTGCCCTCCATCGAATCACGGGGCCCAACGGACGCAGCGGCACCGCCCCTTTTCGTTGGAAACAGCCAATAGGAGCGCGGCGCGAGGCAGCGCACAGGAAGTGGAAACTAGCGTCCCGCGCAGGTAAACTGCTTTTTGAAATCCTTGGCGCGGAACGTCTTTACGGTAACAGCGGCGGCTCGCTTTAAACTTTAATACATTTGTAACAATGTCTGAATCATCACTACGAGCAGGACGTTACATTTATATGGTGACTAATTTAAAAAAGCGTAGAGTTCACGCCCCAGAGATAATGTTTGTGTCACGTAACCGGCAGCGAGCGCCCGCCGTCTGGTAAAGTTTGTCTTATTAACCGTTAACAACACAAGCAAAACCGGATTATCAAGAAACTTCCTAACGTTAGCTCGACTGTTTTGTCTTAAAAGACACAAAAGCGGCGTTAACTAACGTTACATTACATGTCCAGTATGTGGGGACGTTTATAGCGAGGAGGCGGTAACCCGGCGACACCGAAACCAAAGCTTAACGTTAGTTAAATCAAACATCTCGATCCTTTTAAAACAAAAACATCCCTATATTAGCGAGATAAAACGCACATTACATGCAGACTTACCCAAATCCGTGAAACAAGCCCTCCTTAGAGGAAAGGTCCCATCTTCAGGAACGTGTTGTGGATACCAGCTCTGTTAAATCTCCGAGCACTAAATGTGGACTTAAACTCAACACCGCACGTTTCCAGCCAATTACTGAAACGCAGAAAACAGCCAAACGTGGAAAAAGTACAAATTGTGCGCGGCTCTGCGTTTTCTTGTTTCCCTCCCTTGCTCGTAAGGAGTGGCCTCTTGGTCAACTTTACTACAGATGTGAAAAGTTTGCCCAATTATGTGTGTGACCAGCAGCATTTGGCCCGCCCTTTGCGAGCATGCGCGCTCACGTCAACAAGCCCATCACTGGGAAGAGGCGGGCTCAGATCAGATACTGTACGTCAGGGTGTCCCAGTCATTTTGAATGAAGGCCAGATTACATAATGTGGAAATACATGGCGGCAAGATGCTTTTAGCTTCATTAAAAATGTCCTATATAAATGAGTCAAACCCAACTGTTTATTCAGTCAGTGATAAAGTATTTAACTTTCCTCTGCTCCTGAAAGCAGCAGCACTCACTGTTGACTTTATACTTCTTTGCTGCTACTTAGCAGGAAATGTCTGCCCTTTAGGTAATCACAAGTTTGCCACTTTAGTGTTTATGGAAACACATTAGTTCCACCTGCCTAGTTCCTACTTGCTGCGTGTCTGCAAATTGTATGTAACTGTAAGCCCAATATCACAAATCACAATTTGCCCCAGCATACGACACACTTCTGTCTTGGACCCTCACAGCAGAAAAGGAAAAACTTCCCCAATAAAACCCTTTAACAGAGAAAACTTTGGACATTCCTTCTGTGCATATAGCCCCCCATCTCTAGTCTAGATTGTCATTATGATTAATTTAATTTGAAACGAAAATGATAACACATATCCTACAGTTGTCCTCTACAGGCTTCTCGTGTGTAAATGTAATCAATGTTTTGTAATCACCCTTCCCCTCTTGGTCCAGCAGGGGTCATGGCTGGATGAACTTTTATGAGGGTCCTGAGCAAATATTTGCTGTTGGGCCCCTATTGACCAACCCCCCACCTCCTGCCCTCATATAAACTTCCCATTTGGTGGTCTCCAAAACCTGTACAGCACATGCCCCTTATGATGGCCTGAATCAAACTGCTTATCATGTGTAGTGTACCAACAGCTTCATAAACAACACACCTAATAAGCTCATATTTAATATGGCTTCTGGAATTAAATGGAAAAGACTCTGTACTCTCTCTGCCAACACTTAAAAGCTCTGCATGATTAAATTATGGTTTACCACAGCATCTCCACTAGATGTTGCGTTTTGATTTTCAGCCAATAGAGATGTAATGCTTAGACCATAAATTTACCTGCCCTTGTTGCTACGTAACAACATGCTGGCACATCCAAATGTAAGTGGCTACAGAGAACACAGCAGACGACACATGGCGGAGACCGACCAGGGTTCATAAGCTGGAGGAACACTTCCTGGCTTAATGTTTTCTCTGTAGTTTATGGTAATTTCATTGAACACAACTTTATCTTGGAATATGTACCATGCGAGCACAGCACTAAAATAGCCTAATAAAGGTTTTAAAACTAGATTTTGACTTGAAGAATTTTTTAACTTATTGAAAGGATAGCCCCTTAAGGTGCAGCATCTCATTGTCAAGGGGGTCCAGGAAGGCCACAAGATATGCAAATTTAGGATCCTTCTTACTATTATTTATTTATTTGTTTTTGCTTTTTTAAGGTTCACTTAACATATGTAGAGATAAAAAAAGATAAGGTAAAATGGAAAAAAGAAAATGCATAAATACATACATAAAACATAAACAAAAGCACTGGCAATATCAGGAAATAAGTGACAATAATATAATGATAATAAATCTTAAAATCCTTCACAAGATATTTCCATTTAACATTGGTTAGGTTATCTGTTAACCAGTTCCTTGTAATTAGTATTATCATTGCTACCCCAATTATTGAAAACAAGTGAGAATCTCTCTCATATATCTCTTCTGGTATTTTCCCACGTAACAGGACTAGTGGGTTTTTATTTAAAGAAATGCTGAAGATATTGGACAACTCTCCAGTAGATTTTTCCCAGAAGCCACTTATCAGTTTACAAGACCAAAATATGTGATTGTGGTTTTATCAGCCATGTAACAGATGCTTGGAAAAAAAAAGTCTCTTGCTCTTCAGGTCAACACAGCTGTGAGTCATGCGTCATGTTTACATGCACAAATGTACGCTATAACCAGATTATAAAGTAAATATAATATAAACCAAATGAACATACTGTTTGATTAAAGCCATTGCATGGTTTGCGGTATACATAATGTAATTATTGGGTCATTTCTGCAAGGGTGATTAGCTGCTTACAGGAAACATTTTAGAGTGAAGCTGTATTTACTGGAAAATGAAAGAGGCAGTAGACTGAAACTGATACATGAAGTTTCTGATCATTATTTTCTGTCAACTAATTGTTTTTCAGCTCTAATTTAAGCCCTGAGGCCTTGATTTACATCCTGCCACTGTGATGTTTGTGCAGAAAAATACTGCCTCCCATTAAACACCACATCAAATCAGACCGGGGCTTTACATGTGAAAAAAAAAAATCTAATTAAATTATCCAATTAAATACATTTTTAAACAATTGAACACAAATGAATCAGGGCATGTTGAGGCTTAATGTAATCTCAGTGAGAATTAGATCACCAGTTATGTAGGACCATCGTCATCTGATGTGGATAATCTGATTTTAATTGATTTGTTAGTGCCTGACCTTCAGTGTTCATCTGCAGCAGCTCCACATCTCTTCACTGACGTGTCTCTGTTTGGGCGCTAGGTGGCGGTTCAGCCTTCCGTACCGGGAGTCGCCATGGAAACCGATGGGCGCCTTCAAGGATGTTGGGAGAGAAGAGCGGAGCTTGAAGCACCAAGTGACGTAATGTTACGGATGTGAGAGAAGCGAGTGGGACCCTGATGCTGCCTTCAAATGCTCCTCGTAAATTAGACGAAGCACTCCAACTGGCTGAGCACAGCGATTCACAGGGTTTTGATTAGGCTACTTAAAAATGGAGCCAGTCTGACTGCAAAATGATATTAGAAAGAAATTGTCAATGCATAAGTATTGTAAGCACATCTGCCTTGGGCTGAGGAATATATATGTTGGTTTATAAAAATCTGTTTTGCATAAGAGGCAAGCATGTATAGGTGTAGCAAGCTGGAGAATTATACACAGTTGAAGGAGGTTTTTATATTTTGTGATGCTTTATAGCAGTGGTTTTCAATTTTATTTTCAAAATCTTAAAGCACATCTGTATTTACATCTGTGCACAACAGCTTTTATGACATGTGTTATCATTCTTATTATGACATAAGACAATAGAAATAATAAAAAATTAGACAGGTAGCTCTCACTGGTGCTTTGTTGTAACTTGCTCTGTACAATAAAATGATCAATTGTCCCACTCAAGGCTTTCTCCTTTTATTTGTTATCATCCCTCACACTGGCTGACAATCAGGGCATTTGATGTGTCTCACATTTACAGTTTCCACACAGCAACAAATAAGTCCCTGTGAAGATCTTTTAAATTAAATCACATCAAATTACATTGTTTTAGCCAGCATTTACATCTTTACTGGGATATGGGTGCGCACAACATACTGATACAATCTTAAAAATTCATTCCTAACTTTTTGTATAGGCTTTATAGGCACTGCTTTATAGCTCTGCTGCAGAGAGGAGAGATCATGCACGTATTTTCCTTAGTCTCACATGTGTGACAGCTAGGCCTATTTGTGAAATCTGTGTAACAACAAAAATGACGTAGCACCATATTTAGGGCCCTATGCATAAGCAGTCTCTGTGGGCGCCCGGACCTTCTCCTCTTGACCATGTCTCTCTCACACATGTTTTGAATTTATTTATTTATATTTTTATAAAGGTTTGCTTTCTTTCTTTCTTTTCCTTTTTTGACCCCCGATCTCTCCCTCTTGGGGAACGACATGACGGTGTACGTTGGTGCTCCAGCAGCACAAGCTGTCCCTCACTTAACTCACTAAGCTGCGTTTTGAGGCAGGGGTGGACCCCTGCCCTATAGGATTTTGCACCTTTAAGGAAAAAACGAAGTTCAGTGTTTCAACTGATTTTTTCATCAAATTTTAAAGTACTTATGGCAGTAATTAGTCAGAAATAATAATAATAATAAAAAAAAAAACTGCAAACAAAACCAAACTTTTCATCTCAGGTTTCACGTAGCCCCCCCACCACTATGACACCCCTGGGGAGGACACATAAGCATTCTGGTGAATTTTTATGAACCAATCTGTGTTATTTCTGCATCAAGTTCTGGTGTGAATGTCCTTAATTTTGTCAAAATAGAAGTCCCCTGCAAGGGGTCAGAGAAAGGTCAGAGCTGCCTTACTCATCTCTTAAACTGATTTATGTTTACATTTCTTGAGCCTTGCATTAAAACGGTACCGATAGTTAAACTCCACAAATAGAAATAATAAAAATATTTTTCTTGTCATGTGTACAGAAAGAATCTTAAAATGAATTATCTTCTTGCCTTTCCATGAATATTATTTGAATATCTCCTGGTGGTAAATTGAATTGAAAGGAACTTTAAACTGGCACAAACATTTTGCTGCAAAGGAAAACATGAAATGACAAGTGACATCGCGATATTTCCGACAGCGCGTGAACGCAGCAGCTGGCTGCTCCGCTCGCAGCCAGAGGAGCGGACAGCGCTGCGCACGAGGCAGGGACCATCTCCACCGGGAAGGTAAGAGACACACAAGTGCGGGGTGAGCATCGTTTCTGACCACAGATACTGCTCAATAACGTCTGTTTCTCCTCGTAGTTCATTTACAGTTTCTAAATTTCTGTCAGAAACAGTTTGGAGGGAGCAGAGAGCAGCACCCGGTCTGTCAGACAGCCTGTGAGGGCTCGCAGTTCTCCTGTAGGGATGCTGCAGTAGCTCAAACCCTCGGCAAGCAATTTGTTCCAGGCTGTAACTCTTGAGTTAATGTTTGTCTGCCGTCAATTGTCGACTGAGTAGCTGTGTTTACCACAACTTAGGAGAACTGAGTAGCTTCATAGCAAGTTTGTGACCGAGAAAAAGTTCACTTGTTTTGTTTAAATAAGTGTTTTTCACAGCGAGTGGAGAAAAGCTCACACCTGCAGTAATTAGCTGACGGTTTGCTGTGACATAAGCTCCAGTGTTCGCCAGTTATGTCCACGAGTAA